GATGAGGAGATGGCGTTCTGTTTCTTCACACCCTTGCCTAGAGAACCAGCCACAGTGGAGGAGGCACTGAGTGGACCCCAGAAGGAGGAGTTCAACAGTCTCATTGAGAATGGGACTTGGGAGCTTGTTGAGTTACCTGAGGGGTGACGGCCGATCAGCAGCAAGTGGGTCTTCAAGGTGAAGAGTGGTGCTGATGGTGCGCTGGAGCGGTTCAAGAGCCGCTTGGTCGCCAAGGGGTTTCAGCAGAAGGAGAACGTCGACTTTGGGGAGATCTTCGCTCCCGTTGCTAAGCCATTGACACTGAGGACTTTGATGGCTGGCGCAGCTGTGAAGGGATGGCACGTGAAGCAGATGGATATCGCCACTGCGTTTCTCAATGGAGTGCTGCTGGAGGATATCTACATGGTGCAGCCCGACGGCTATGGGGATGGGACCAGCCGGGTGTGCAAGCTTAAGAAGGCCATCTATGGCCTTAAGCAAGCACCCAGGTGTTGGTACGAGAAGCTGGAGGAGGTGCTGCTGGGTGGAGGCTTCAAGACGTCCCAGGCGGATCACAGCTTGTTTCTGCTTGGAGAGGGGGAGCAGTTGCTCTTGCTGCTGGTGTATGTCGATGACATAATGCTGTTCTCACCCTCCATGGAGCAGATTGAGAGGATAAGGAAGCTGCTGATGGACAACTTCAAGTGCAAGATGCTGGGGGATGTCCACTACTACTTGGGGCTGCAGATTGAGAGGGATGTTGAGAGGAGGTGGCTGAAGGTGCATCAGTCACACTACATCTCTGGTGTCATGGAGCAGTATGGTGTGACTGGGGGTCGCATTGTGATGACACAGTTCCCTGCGGGCTTCAAACTGAAGAAGGCAGCTGAGGAGGATGATGTACTCGAGGATGAGCAGCAGAATGAGTACCAGTCACTCATTGGGAGTGTGATGTATGCAGCTGTGCATACGTGACCTGATGCTTCATTCGGAGTGGGGCAGCTGGCCAGAGTTGTGCAGCGGCCCACTGAGGAGCAGTTGGAGGTGGCAAAGTGCTTTGTGCGCTACCTCGGATCAACGGCATCTGCTGGTGTTCATTTTTCAGCTGGCGGCCAGCTGAAACAGATTGGAGCAGATGGGGTCACGCCTGGAACCTTGAAGCTGTCGTGCTTCACCGACGCCACATGGGCCTCAGAGGATGAGGATCAGTCATCGGTTGGCGGCTTTGTGTGCATGGTCGGAGGTGGACTAGTGAGCTGGAGGTCCAAGAAGCAGAGTGAGATTGCTCAGTCTTTCGGAGAGGCGGAGTACATGGCGATGTACCATGCCATCAAGGAGATTGTGCTCCTGAGGAAGCTGCTGGAGGACATGGGAGCTGAACAGGAGGGACCTACACCACTTTTCTCCGACAGCGAGGCTGCTATTGGCATGGCCAATAATCCTATCCTGAATGGGCTGAACAAGCACATGAAGATTAAGTGGCACTGGGTGAGGCAGATGGTGAAGGAGGGGATTGTTGAGCTTCACCATGTGAAGGCTAGCAAGCAGGCGGCAGATTTTCTCACTAAAAGACTTCCCGAGAGCGTACATTGGAAGTGTGCTAAGATGTGTGGCATGGCATTGCACTAGTGTGGGCAGCAGTGTCATGAGTGCATGTGTGATTGTGTGCATGAGAGTTTGCATGTGTGTGAGTGTGTGTGCATGCAGTCCGTTAGTCTGAGGGGGAGTTTGTTGGATGCGGGTCATTCTGATTGCATGTCATCCTAACGTCCTGCCGAGTGCTCGTGCTATTTGTGCTTGCATGATTTGCATGAGCATATGTCATTATGCATGGCTGTTGGATATTACCATCTCTGTGTTTTTCTCCAAGTCTACATGCTTGATCATGTAGGAGTCATTCAGAGCTTTCCAACGATACCAAGATCGCCTTATTCCGACCAAGATCGCCCAAGTTCCAAGATTTCCAAAACTTGGATTTCTTATTACCTTTTAAGGTTATATCTAATTTGGGTGATTACTTGGGACATGACTATAAAATGATTTTTGGTTGGGTGGTTAGGGAAGGCAACTTTGACTTTTGGATTGGGGTGGCTAGAAGTTTCTAGCATGGGTTGCAAATGTTGCAACACCTAGGCAAAATCCAACTAGATTGGATTTTGCATGTGACACCTCAAGGATCTCATGATGAGGGTTGCATCCTTGCTGCTAGGAAGGTTCCTACCATCCTTCCCTAGCTCTTGGAGAACCCCTTCCCTCTCATGGTTCTCTTGGAGTCCCCAACTCCAACTTCCTATGCCTTAATGCTTGTACTTCCTCTACCATTCTAGTCATGCGGCTGCTGGACGTTTTCAATCGGTTCTCACTCTATAGACCATCTTAACAACTGATTCAACTCGGAGATGGTAGCTAAGCCTAAGGCGCACAATCCTACTGAGCGGATTTGCGTTTAGTTGAGAAATGAGTTCTTCGTAAGCTCTCAAAGTGACGGATCCTGAACAACAGCTGGCGCAGGGTAGGGCGC